GCCATATTGCTTTCCAGAGAGGTTGGACCATTTTGCAATCCCACCAGTAATGCTGGAGTGTCCCAGTCCCTCCACATCCCCGGCAGCATTTACTGTCCTCTACTTTTTGATCGGGGAACCTTTTTTCTGCCAAAATTTGTAACATTATTCATGGGCCATACAAAATATCAACTTAAAAATTAGCTTCCTCTCTTTGGACAAACATTTAATTAACTCACCCCTGAAGGAGAATATTGAAAGTACCTTGGACTGCCAAAAGAATCAATAGATCCGTTTTGGAAGACGTGCAGCCAGAGTGCCCTTTTGGGGCCAAGATGGCCAAACTTCGTTGCTCATACTTTGGACATATCATCAGGAGATAAGTCGCTGGAGAAGGATATCATGTTTGGTAAATTGGAGAGTCAGAGAAGAAGAGGAAGACCCCCAAGGAGATGGATTGGCCATGTGGCAGCATCGATGGTCTCAAGCGTGGCAACGGCAGTGAAGTTGGCCCAGGATCAGGCACAGTGTTTTGTTCTGCTGTGCATAGGGTCGCTATGAATCGGCACTGACTTTATGGCACCTAACAACAACAATGTGATGGCTGGAACTGCAGTTGTATTGGCAGGGCCAGACCAAATTATTTGGGGGCCTTATATGGACTATGGGCCACAGGTTCCCCACCCCTGCATTAGAAGGACTTAACTTCCCACAGTTGGGTTTAAAGATTGAGGAAGGGAACCACCATGAACCAAGGAATGCAGATGACCTTTCGGAGCTAGGAATGGACCTCAGCTGACAGACAGTAAGGAGCTTCAGTTTTACAATGGCACGAAACAGACCCTTGCCAACAAATGCGCAAGAAACAAGTCCTTCCCTGAAGTCTCCAGAAATTGGTGCAATTCCATTGATACTTTGACTTTAGCCCACTGAAGAACTGGTGTCACACATCTAGCTTACAGAACAGTCTGATTTAATATGTGTGTTGCCTACGCCAGTACATTTGTGGTAATCTGTTATGGCAGCAATAAAAACAATGAATATGCCAGGACTCTGCAGATGGCTGCTTGCTAACAGGAAAACTAAAGAGTTTCAAGACAGGAAATAACAAGAGGAAGAAAGTCTCAGCAAAGAGAAAAGAGAGAGGAGCCCCTGAAAGGTGCAGAAACTTGGCAAGGGGTGGTGTCAGTGTCCCTAAGCTTATGCCAGCCATCACTGTTGCTCTTAGAAGGGGACTTAATGTTCCATCAGCATCGGCATAGCCAGTTCAGAATAAGAGAACTCTGAGGATCCCACATTCCATCTGTGACAACAGGCAAAATTTCTTCCTCTACCTTTCCCAATCTTTTCTCACTATCTCATCACCCACAATGAAACCGAGATTTCCACTAAAAACTTCTCTAACAAAGATAACTTGTTACTCTTTCTCCAACTACTCTTAACAGACAGGAGAAAGAGGTATCTCGGCATACTAATTGTTTCCTACCACCTCCTCCAACATTGTTTTTCAGGCATCTCTCAATAACCTTCACTTTTTAAGTCTAGAATATCTTCTCTCCAAGATGCTTCCCACGCAACAATTTTAATGCTTAGTTAACAATCTTCCTTTTCTTTCTTCCCTGGCTATTATACAACAGCACTTAGATTCCATTTTTGACAAATTTTCTTACATCAAAATCTTGCTTCAGCTTTCATTTCATGGCCAAATCTTACTCATCTTGCCTGTAAGACAGCTATCCTTTAAGGTTAGTTCAAACTGCACCTCTGGCAGGTCTTTCTAGATGAATATAGTATTTCCTCTTCTGTATTTTCATGAACATCAATGTATGTTGTTGTTAAGTGCTGTCGAGTTGGTTCCAACTCATAGCAACCCTATATAGGGTTTCCAAGGAGCACCTGATGAGTTTAGTGCCAACCTTGTGATTAGCCATTTAGTGCTTATCCTGCAGCACCACACCAAGATCCCAAACATTAACCTATACATTTCTCATTTGTAAATGATTTATGCACGCAGTCTTTTGACTATCAACTCTCTTTGGAAAAATATTTTAAAAACAAGAATATTCATCACAATTATTTATAATAGTGTAAAGTGGAAAACTACTAAAATGCCCATCATTAGAGGAGCAATTTGATAAAATATTGCATACTACAGTAGCACAAACTGTGTGCGCTCAGTTACCTAAAAGGTGGTAGTTCAAACCCACTCAGTGGTACCACGGAAAAAAGGCCTGGCAATCTAACCTGCTCTCGAAACATTACAGCCAAGAAAACCCTAAGGAGCAGTTCTACTGTGTAAGCCACGAGGTCACGAGCTTAGACACAACAATACCAACAATCGTAATGATGGCACAGGGGTGTTCCAAACTGTACTAAGGCAGCCATGTAGGATGGTAGC